CATAATTAAAATAATTTTATGTCGTACATATGTATATGAGCTGTAAACAAGTCAATTATTTGCTAGTGGTGAAACATTATTTTCATATATTATTTTTAATACCGATAACTAAAAATGATTACTTTCTAATAAAGAATTTGTGTTTTCTATAAAAACTTAAGTTTGATTGAACCAAACCTTTTAAATAATTTTTATTGTTTGCCTTAAGAATGAAGAAAACCATAATTATTATTTGAAATTTACAAAATGTTTATATCTCTTTAGTGCCATCCTTACCATGTCAATGACAAAGCCGTCATCATGGGAGATGCAGCACATGCCATGGTGCCCTTCTATGGACAAGGAATGAATTGTGTATGTATTCATCTGTGCCAATAATGGGTAGTGGCATTGTCAGAAAGCTTTCATGGCAGACAGGACCTTGTCTTTATGGTGGACATTAGCCAGTGGGTTGTGTTATTGTATGGTTGTGACATGCAGAGAGGGTTGTATTATTATATGGTTGTGACATGCAGAGAGGTTTCATTCAACTCTTTTATGAAAATACTGAAAATACTAAAAAATATATTAAAATTTGAGAAATACTGAAAAATGCAGAAAAATACTGCAAAATACTGAGAAAACTGAAAAATACTAGGTTATTTTAGGATCCAAATAAATAGTGATGTGTTAAGATTACATTGTCCATTTTGATTATCAGCAGATGGATACACATTCTAATTAAGATATAAATGCATAGCTACTATATACCTTATTGCCATATATGTTGCTATGAACCTTTGTTCGATATACATGTTGCCATATACCTGTGTGCCCTATATCGTGTAGCCATATGCCTTTGTTTGACAAACAGGGTATGGAGGACTGTATTGTTTTTGATGAGCTTCTTGACAAGTACAACAATAACTTTGGTGAGTTTGGCTGTTTTAATTGCCGTTGGTTATTGATGACTATTAAAAAGAAAAACCTAGGAAATCCTATGTCATCATTTTAGGATGCTCTAAAAGGAGATGATTTTTGTTATGAAGTGGGGTTGGGGTCAGGTTTCTGTGTGTCAGTCCTTACAATTGAATTACAAGTTATGTGTTGGCTCTAACGTTAACTTTATTGGGCTTTTCTTCTATAAGCATTTGAGTTCCCCAACCAAAATTTTTTTAAATGTTAATTTTGTGTTTACTGTAGCCTAGTTTTTAAATTATTCTATATCTATGTGTGTATTTTCAGCTGATGATGGTCTTAAGCCAAAACATTTTTCTTAAATATAGCTTAATTACTAGTGTCTTTTTTTTAACGTTAATGAAAGAAATGTTAAGTCTTTTTACTTTAGGAGTACATATTAATTTAGATTTACAGCTGGGATCTCTTACTTTGTACTCCTGTCTTGTTTTAAAAGTAAATATTACTGTCGATCAGTGATTCCCAAAGTGGTCCATATCGACCCCCAGGGGTCGACAACTTGCAAGGGGTCCATGTCAGCGACAGAAAAAATTGCTGGTCCATGAAATGAAAATAAACAAACTGGACATCATTAATCGCGGAGATTTGAGATTAAACCTAACTAAATTGATGCCAAATTTTGAAAATTTATTATTAAAGCATCAGGTTCCTCCCTCACACTAAAAGCATTTATTTTTTGCCTAGTTATTTTATGTAACAGAAAGTAAATTTTAATATGGTTCGTTTTAATTTGAATTAAATTAATAAATGTATAAAACTTAACATGTTTTTAATAATGTTTTAAAAGTTTTTCACACTACTACACTTCAATACCGTTATAAATTTAAATCTTTCAAAGTGAGTAGCACTATACAAGCTATCAAAAATACATTTGAAGCTAATGAATTTGCAAAAAATCAATATCAGGTAAGCAGGGGGTCTACCCAAAACCAAAAAACATGGCAAGTGGTCTACGAGACAAAAAAGTTTGGGGACCTCTGAAAGTAGACTTACAGCTAGGATCTCTTACTTTGTACTCCTGTCTTGTTTTTTTTTTTTAACAGTACATATTAATGTAGACTTACAGCTAGGATCTTTTACTTTGTACTCCTGTCTTCTGTTTTAACAGTACATATTAATTAATGTAGACTTAGAGCAAGGATCTGTTACTTGCCCTCATATCAAAATTATTTATTTTATACACCAGGAATCTTTGCTTATTTGGTACTACTTATAACTTAATTTATCTCTGACATAGAAATGTTAAGTTGTTAAATGTCTAAATTTCTACCCATGTTTTTCTAACAAAACTTTAAAAGCCAAAGTCCTGCCTGCATACACCAAGATAAGAAACCCAGATGCTAAAGCCATTTGTGACCTGGCCATGTACAATTATACGGAGGTCAGTTTTGTTTAGTTTGAAATTGTTGTCAGTGTATCAACATAGTAATTTAATTGTTAAGTGTATTGTTTAAATTGAAATAGATATAAATTATAAAATAAAGTGTAATGAGGTTACGGGAAGACCTAAAATGAGGACACAAGAAAACAATAACCAAAGTGTCCGGCAAGATTCCTTCTTCGGTAAACAGTACAATCAAATAGTAACAAATATAAAGACTGTACATTCCTCTGGGATGCAATATTTCAGTTTAGTTTTTATTTTTTGTTTGAATCTTTTTTTTTTTGTTCAGGTTTTACTTTGTCTTATTTTCCATATTGGCTCTTACCTAACCTGAGAGTGGTCTCCCCTCGTATTATCATTGCCTAAATTAATATTTTTATTTTGAATTGGTTTTAAAAAAAATTAACCAAAGCTTTTAAAAGATTAACTCTCATTTGTGCATTATTGATGTTTCAGATGCGTTCTAAAGTTAATTCCAGATTGTTTTTGGTTAGGAAGAAATTGGACAATATGCTGTTCAAACTCTTTCCTAACACTTGGGTTCCACTTTATACCATGGTAAATTGTCTTATCTTTTACTTTATATACTTAATATTAATAATGGTAATGAATAAATTGACATTAACGCATTTGAATGATACAAGCTGTGATCAATTTTACTTCAGAGGCCTAATTATGTTTTCTATTCTTATCCGTCTGCTAAATCAAGACTTAAATATTTAAAAAAAATAATTCTAGTTCCCATTAAATTCTATGTTTGGAGGTCACATGCTAATATATAAGCTTTGACAATCTCAACATAATGACTGCTCTTGATTTCATAACCAGGTTTCATTTACAAGAATTCGTTACCATGAGTGTGTCCAGCGCAGGGAATGGCAAGATAAAGTATGAAAATTGATCCTTTTGTTTTTGTATTTATTGCTCCTATCAATACCAAGCAGTAACATTAAAAAAAAACATTTTCAAATAAAATATTTTTTTGGAAGAATAAAAACCCAAGAAACTATTGCACGGATAACTGCAAATTATAATTCCATATTGAACTTGAAGTCCTTGCAAACATCTATTTAATACTATCAAATGTTAACACTTCCTTGCTTTAGGGCAATATTTTGGAAAATATTTATGCAAAGTTTTATTGTATTATTTGTCTGTTCCATTTCTGGTTGCTGTAACTTGTTTCAAATGTAAGTTTCTTAAGTTGGCTATCATTTGGAAATCTCTCATTTGTGAGTGTCTGGTACTTACAACACTTAAAGCTGTGCTCCCATTTCTATCTGTTTTTCTAAGAGAGCAGTTTATTAGCTTTTTAACGTAATCCCGGTCTCATTTGACTTCTTTAATACATGGTCCGACGTTTCTTTCTTTAGATTTTGACCAGGAGTCTGATATTATCAGCCGTTTGCATTCTGCTAGGATTCACCGCCCTGATTTACAATGCAAACAAGTTTGGTGATCATTGGAATCTAGAAACTCCGCAAAGTTTGCTCACAGGATCATTTGACAAGTTTCAAAAATGGATTTCCAGATGGTAACATGGCCAGATTTGAATTTTTGTTGTTGTTTTGCCTTGAATTTAAAGAAACATTCTGTTAGATTATGAGGTGACTAACAAAGATGTGATTCAGCATGGTTTACAATGGATTGTGAAGAGACAAAGATGTCATTTGGCATCATTTACCTAAGATTGTGAGGAGACAGACATTTCATGATGGTTTATTTGAGGAGCTTGAATGGGTTATGGTTATCACAGAGCATGTAATTATGTACCGTCATTAAAATGTATTACTTTTGAATTGGATCTTTTGAGAAATGGGGAATATTTTGCTCAAATTTTAAAATTTATTTGATTTCTACATGCAACAAATTTTACCACGACAGCATTCAATATGGTTCATAGGCAAATCATTTTACATCGTCAGCATTCAATATGGTTCATAGCTTTCTATTATAAACCATGCAATAAATTACCATTTGCATTCATTTAAGTTTTGCTTGTTCAGCAATTTGCAGCAAACTACATAAGTAAAAAAAATGAAAGATATCTTCTGTACTGTAATAAATACTTAATTTAGCTTTAAATTGACTTATTTGTGCTCGAAAAAAAATCATCTTTCTTATTCATGCTTTAAAAAAAAAGTCATCTTTTTTATTCATACTGCTAAGATCTTTTCTATCCTAGTTGTAAGGATGTTACAAAATTTGATTAAACCACCAGCAAATTTGGCAACAGCCTCATACAACTTATATGGTGAGAGATGAGTTTAAAAAATAATTCACCCCATGCATTATACTAATTTAAATCAGCATCATGGTGCTGGCGATGTGGTCAAAATGTTTATTTACCCATTCATAATAATGCTGGTAAAAATAAAAAAAAATATTGTTTTTTATATTAATATTATTATGTATAGTCAAGACTTTTTAAATTTATTTGCCTCCACATACTCATTCAGTATTTAATTGAAGTTTTGCCTCAAAGTTGTGTTTTTGTTTATTATTTTGTGGCACAAAAAATGTGTTTTCTTTTGTTTTTTGGCAGACCACATTTTTATTTTTATCCTTACTGGTTCCAACTGTAATATTAAATTATCCTGCAACAATAATTTTAAACAGATGAATTTATATTTATTTCATGTTTAAAAAAAAATTGTAGCACAAAATAAAAGTCCATTCACATCAGACTTTTTTTTTACATAATTAGTGATCTTATGGTAACACTGAATATTTATCATAGAATAGCCACATTACATTTAAAATTTCCCCTTAATAATATATTTTTTGAAATGTATACTGGTTCCTTTATGAATCTGAATTATATTATTTGGTACGGGTATAGAGGTGTTATTAATGTTGAAATGTAAATTTATTTTATCTGTTTAATATTTACCAGATGTGTCTCTGTGCAAATAACATATTCTTTACTTTGGTAATTCAAATTATTTCAGCAATAACATAACTAATTATTATATAATTACATGCAATTTGATAAAATCATACTAGATCTGGTTATATTTTGCTATCTAAAAAATGATGAATAAAAAGAAATGAGGTCAACATTTTTTCATTATTATATTTGAATGAATTTTGGAAATCTTTGGTCCTGGAATAAAATATATGTCTATGTACTACAATGAGCTTAGAGTGCTGTATTGGGTACATTACATTTTCTTCCACTATCTAGTACTGATACTGTCATCAGTTTTTTTAAAAAATCCTATGCAAGAGTTGGCTGCTTGTCTCCACGCCTTATTGGTACATCACTTGGGGTTTTATAATAATCCCTAAGGCTAATTGCATTCTTTTTTTTTTAGTCCATTCATAAGTCTATATCCACCTTATTTGGAGATGACCCTGCCACCCCTGCTTGAAATTATTATGGCACCACATAGCACCCTTATTTGGAGATGAACCTGCCACCTCCCGGTGGACAACATTACTATTGTACCATTACCATGTAGCCAACTTTTCCCTTAAATAATGAAAGCAAGTTCTTTTCTAATCATAATTATAACTTCATAAATGAAACAGACATAAAAAAAAAGCAACACATTTATGAAATTTTATATGTCAAAAACAAGCAAATAGAATATGTGAGATCACACAACAGCTCAAACAAATGGAGTGACTGCGCCCACTCAAATACATGATCCGCTGCAGGTAACCAGGGATACAAAAAAAAATGGTGGAACGGCTGGGACAATTTCACATCTGTGCAACATTGTGATTTTAAACTCACTTTAAATAGAAACTTTTGAGTGCTGCTGACCAGTTCACAATTAGGTCTCTGGTGGGGGGAAAAAAAAAAGAACATTTATTTATAAAATTCGTGCTCTGTTTCATCTTTCTTGATGTTGTTCTTGTAACCTTTTTCAAAATCTTTAGCCAGCACCACGTATCTGTTTTCTCTCACGGCCTGCATGCCAGCCTGAAAAAAGTACAAGAAGATTCAGTTAATAAGTTGGCCAAGTTTTTTTCTTTACTCCTTCAACATTTGGAAAATAACTGCTAAGACCATTACACGTTTACCAGCTGTGCTGCTCTGTCAAGCATCAACACCTTAGTGCATTTCTGTCTAACCTTTTCGGCTCAGTGGGCCAATAAAAAAAAAATTCTGCAAAGGCGAGGGTCTACGTTTTACCTCATGCATAAATTTGATAAAGAATAATACATCCAATAGCATTATCGGCTTAATCAAAAATTGTTAAAAAGGAAATAAAAATTAGAGCTTTAATAATGAGATATTTTGCTTTGAATTGTCCTTGTCATTTTCTTAATTTGAGGTAGTTTTAAGTAGCACCTGCCTTAATTCGATTTTTTAAATGTTCTCAAGTCAAAGTGTTATATTTTTTGGACTTCATGTCCCTCATTAAAGAGAATCCAGTTTCACTGATGTAGGGTGCTTCCAAAAACATGGTCGAAATTTTGTTACATTCCCATTTCTTCCATCACAAGAAACCAACGTCAATCAAAATTCATTTGGCCGTGCATTCTTCTTTGTCTATTAAAATTTTTTTTTTCAAGAATCGCTCCAACTGTCGTACAGAACAGAATTCCTCTCTGACTGAACTGTGCTGACTACAAACAATGCACTGACTAGAAACAAAAAGCATGTGTCCTGCTTTCTAACCCTTGAATGTCCCATAATATGATGTCCAACTACCAGGTAATTAACACTAAAGTGACAATACAGGATGGACACACTCTCCCATACCTGGACAGAGTACCTGTTTAAAAATAACATGGTGTGGTTAGAGCTTCGCACCCTAAGATGACCAATGAAACTCCATTTAGGTTTTGTCCCCTTCTCCTGTCCTCTCACGTCATTTCCCAACAATACTAAATCAATGATAAGATGACCAATGAAACTCCTTAGGCATTGTGCCCATCTCCTGCTCTCTCATGTCATTTCCCAACAATACTAAATCAATGATCAGATGACCAAGGAAACTCCTTAGGTTTTGTGCCCGTCTCCTGTGCTCTCACGTCATTTTCCAATACTAAAATCAAGGAATTTAGTTGGAAAACATTTTCATGCTAAAATGTTTCTTTTTTGCACATAAAAATTTCTCAACCTTAGATGGGGGCCATAGGAACAGGGTGGAAACAACACACCAGGTAAAGGGTGAATAACATGAGGCACCTGCCTCAAGCGAACAATAGGTAAGGGTGCAAAATTGATTAAAGTTCCCCTGCCTCTAGGCCAGGTTCTGTCCCACACAATATTTCCCAAGAATTCTCTTACTCAATTTAATTATAATTTCTATAGGTCAAGGTGACAAAAAGGCACCGGCATGTCCCTATTTTTGTAAAATTATTTTAATTAGAGTATTGCTTTTTTTAAAACAGGAAATTGGAGTTCTAAGAACCAAAAATTATTTACAACTATGAGAAATTCAGTGACTAGAAAGTATTGGGAAACCTATTTTATTTAAAGGCATAAATACCTCCTTATTTGGTGCAATTTTCAACATGAAAATATTTTGTTCTTTTGATTTCAAGAGCTTGACTCCAATAATTAAGGACAGTCCAACAACTTGTAATTGGAAATATCCCTTACAATACTGCTGGATGGCAGCTATAAAAAGCACACACCTCTTGACAGATGGCATTGATGTCAGCACCGCTAATTTTATCAGGCCTCGCCACATAGTCCTCCAGGTCAACTTCGTCGCTTAGGTTCATCTTGCTGGTGATTGTGGAAAATATCAGGCGCTTCTGGCGACGATCTGGAAGTGGAAATTCAATTTTTCTGTCGAGTCTGCCAGGGCGGAGCAGTGCTGGGTCTAGTGTGTCAGCTCTGTTGGTAGCCATGATGACCTGTAAAGTGTATGAGCAAAAGTGATGGCAAACCCATAAAATTCACACGATAATCTATTAGAACATTTAGTTAGAGAGTAAAAATATTTAACTTGTGGATAGATAGTGGCATAATATTGATATCATAAGTATATTCTTATCCCTGGCACATGGGGCAGTGGCTGCAAACTTATGGCAGCCATGTTGAACAGCCCTTTCTGTCAGCACATGAGTTGTTTTTTTTTTATAAACCAAAACATCAGTATTCAGGTTTAATTGCAGTGTTTTCACTCTGTGATTAATAAGTAGCTTCTGGGTTGCAGTTTGGGCACACTGTCTTTCAAAGTTTCGCTATAACTGCTGTAGGATATCATTTTAAAGTAAAAATTTCAGCAGGACACTATAGATTTGCCAGCAGGTGATGAAATGCTTGAGCCAATGAACAAACACCAAAGTGAATCAATACAAACCTTGACATTGACTGTTTGATCAAACCCGTCCATTTGGTTGAGAAGTTCCAATAAAATTCTTTGTACCTCACGATCAGCTGAAAGTGAAAAAGTGGAATGCTTTCAATTAGCATTCTGTGTAGCAAATTACAAATAAAATGGTTTACAACTTATTAAAATATTAGCACAATTTTTTATAATTACATCAACTTCTTTGAGTGCACATTGCCTGCCATCATCTAGCTATTTACGAACGCATACATTACTGTGATAACCAAATTGAAAACAGACCTCCTGTTTGTGCGTCAAATCTTTTTGTTGCTATGGCATCGATTTCATCAATGAAAATTATAGCGGGGGCGTTTTCTTTGGCTAACCTAAACACATCTCGAACCATTCTGGGACCTTCACCTAAATATTTCTGGACAAACTCTGAACCAACCACTCGAATAAATGCAGCTGTGGGAAAAAAAGGTTTATCAATAAAAAAATTGTCTATAAGTATAACTGGTTTAAAATCAAAGCTTCTATTTAAGAATAATGCTATGTCTGTGCAGTGACTCTCTAGTTTTGAGTACGAGACCATTATTAAAAATTGCACCCTATCTTGAAATAAGATGCATAGAAGAATATAAAATTGGAGTACTCTTATGGTTCCATCATGTAAGATAAAAATGAGTCCTTATTTGTCAGAACGCATTTACGTTTTAAACAATCTAAAATAACACTTTTACTTTTATTCAGAGCAAATTATTATCGAGTTGTATACTGACGACATACTTAGACAGTATAGACGCGACAAACTGCTCAGACTTTTCTAATTGTATGTACAATTATTTTCATATTTTTTGCAAATCTTACCTGTAGTGTGATGAGCTACAGCTTTGGCCAACATAGTTTTCCCACAACCCGGTGGCCCAAACATGAGGACACCACGGGGTGGATCAATACCAATCTGCTTGTACAGCTCAAAGTGGGTTAGAGGAAGTTCAACTGCTTCTCTGACTTCTTGTTTTTGAATGTCCATGCCTCCAATATCGTGGTAAGCAACATCAGGTTTCTCGTCTGAAGTTAGACACAAGCACAACAATAGTAAAAGTTTTAAAAAGAACAGTCCTTAAAAGCAATTAACATGTTAAACATTAGAAAAAAACATGTAAGATATTTTCTTAAATAAGTTCCCATTAAAAATCATTTTTCACCAAGGTTTAATGAATGCTAACTATATTTATGCAACTATATTTGCTTTTATGAGGGAACAATGTCTTGTTTATATTTAAATAGACTCCTGCCTAACTTACTTCTGCAAACTGTCTAACCCATGCCAATCTTCTTGTTACTAAACCATGCTAGTTATCATTTAAGGATAAAAGTAAAAGCATTTCTTTTTCCCTAAAGAGAAGAGTGACATTCCCTTTTAAACAGCATTTGACATCAGCAATTATGTCTAAGGTATTTTTGACAGACAGGCTCCCTGAACAAATCATGACATAGGGTAGTCATAACAAAACCTACCTGCTTGTAACATGGTGATACTGCTATCTGCCTCAGGGGGTAAAACATCCACCAGGGCATTGCTGTGCTTGTGGAGGGCAACACTGGCAGAAGGTTTTAATAGCTCCCTGTCAATTGTACTTAAGATCCGTACATAGTAGTTAGAACCTTTCAGAATAAAATTCAAATGTTAAGAAAAGTTTTAAAGTACAAAATACATGTGTTGCAATTATTGGTATTGAACCTGACAAAAATACAAATGCATTACATAAATCTTTTTAAAAAAAAAAAACAGCTGTAAGAATGTCCACAAAAAAAAACACATTAAAAGAACATGGATTGCCAGTACCTGTTGTGGAGCCAACAATGCCGTTATTGTGATCGACAGCCTCCAAAAACTGACCAATAACCAGCGGGACACTCTGAATACGCTTAACCTCTTCCTGAGCATGCAGGTATTCTTTTTTCAAGTTTTTCTGTTCATCTTTGATGTATTCCTCCTGGACTTCGAGAAATTCTAATTGCTTTTGTAGCTTCTAAACATGGAAAAAATTATATCTGTTTTCAGTACAAAAAAATACAAATAGGATAGGCTGAAAATACTGCATTAATATTTTTAAAATATGTTTTCTTATCATCATCAGTTATTTACTTTTTATATAAATGTTTAATTTATCCTGCAGAAAGTTTTAAAAACTTAATAGTAAAGTATTACCCTCTGCTCAAATTTTTTAAAGCAAGTTTTTCATTAGCATTTTATTCTTTAGACTGTTAAAGCCAATTATCCGTTGAATGCCATAAATAACAATAGTAAGGATTCTTCTTCTTTAAAGTATTTTTTAAAATAAAAAATTTGAAAGAACCAACCCTTAAATATAAATTATTTTGTTTGCTAATTACCTTATACTTCACATAAAGATCTTCCATGTCAGGATTCATTGGGTCACCTGACCCCCCTGCCATGGATGTGCCGGGTCGTGAGTCGGGCAGGCTAGAATCATCCTGGTGGACAGCATCATTATTAATGAAAATTTGCATGTTTTAAAAGCAACTTAAGACTAAGTTTTGTTAACACAATTAAACATAGGTTATTTTCAAAACACATTACAAAAATGAGCACAGTTCTTTTCCCAAATTTCTTATTATTGTTGTTAGGCAGAGAAAACGGTCTCAAACCAAACAGCTGGTGGTCTGGAGTTCAATCCCCACCAAAGCGATACATCCCAAGCACTCCGGGTAGATGGGACTCGCTAGCCTTGGACGGCAACCCATCTAAGAGAAGGCAAACTCTGAATTCAAACCAGGAGCCAGAATGATCAACAAATTGATCATGGGCACCTCAAATATAAGAAAGAAAGGAAAGAAAATCTTGCTCAGATACTGTTCATACTCCATTTATTAGTATTTTTAGTGACTCTTTTAGTGACTCGCACCAAACATTCGCGATGCTTCCTGATCCGGGGCGGTTCTGAAACCTAACCTCACGAATGTTTGAGGTATTACAAAATTAATAACTTACATTTCACGCCCATTTCCAATGCACATTTTGAAGTAGTCTCCCTTGTTTTACAAAAGTGCTTAGCTAAGACAGTTCTTATTTGATACCTTTTCAAACATTTTTTTGTTACTGAGTAATTAAGTAATTAATTTTGGTAATCTATCATGTTTTTCTGGTTTGACAAGCTATATTAATGGTTATTCTTTTATTTATTATTCATAAGATAAAATTCTCTTATTAATCCAATCTTTTTTGTGACATTATTAATTTCAGAACATAGATAAATATTCTATCTAGACAAGACAAGACTTTTAAACTGATACAATTTAATTTAAACGATGAAAAGAATTTAACATGTAAGCAAACAGAGTTGAGTTTATCATAGTTTTGCCCCCTGAGTAACAATGAAACGAAGAAGAAGTAATAATGATAAGAATGCTGCTGGTGCCAAGCTGTCTTTTCAGTTTGCGTTTCGCGCGTATGCACATTTTTTCTACATTTCTGTGTGTGGACACCAGTGACAGCTACATTTGGATCAACGAAATTTTGTTGATGGATCACGACGGAGTGTTAGTAGATTCAGTGTCTGATCTGATTTATTATTGCATAAGCCACCCATACACCAGAGACAATATGTGAACCTGGTAGAATATATCTCACTATGCACTACTGTAAAGTAATCGCACGCCGGTCGGTCTGGAACTATAACAAGAAAACAGTGTCAACTCTCTCTTTCAATGCTATCAAAAACCCAGTGACCTTATTTATCTCCACTGTGGAATTTCCGTTAAAATGTACTTCAGATCCAAAAAAAACAAATTTTCAATAGTGACAATAGCCGACCCTGAAAATGAAGTGATGGAGAACCTTAATTTTATCAACTTACAATCAGGAGAGAATATTTAATTTTTAAATCGTAGGCCAATTTATTAGACCTAAAAAAAATTATTATTTAAACAGAATTAGGCCCTATTTTGACATTAAAAGCCTGGCATCCTAGAGGACAGGGGCAGCATATGCGACCACTCATCGTCATACATGGCCATAGGCAAATAATAATAATTACATTATAATCATCATTATAATTTATTACAAATTTATAATGAAATTATGATGAACAAGTACCCATATTTTAGTGGTCTTGAACTTAAGTATTTTGTTCCTATTCGACCTAATAATAGCAAATAGGGATTACCCAAATAAGAACATTTTTTAGAAGTTGAAGGTCCTAATTAAGTCATTACACTACTAATAATTGCAAAGAAAAACATAAAATCCTTAAAAAATCTTAAAATTAAAACCGGTTTTGAGATGAGTGTGACAATGTAGAAATTTAATTAACTGATATTCCAATTCCACATTACATTGTCATAAAAGGTCAAAGAAATAGCGTTGATTTTTCCCATTTGTTGGAAAAAATTAAGATTAAGTTTTAAGCTAATTAGTTTCAATAACTTGAATTAGTTTGTTGTCAACCCTTACTTTAGGATCGTTCCCTGACAAGCCGATCTCTTCCATTTTGTTGAGTAATACAATGCAAAAACTTCTCACGCAATTTAACGAATAAAATAATTATATCTCTTAATCTTAATTTTTTAAAAATATCATTAAAAAAATATAACTAAAATTTACATATAAGATTATTTGTTAATTATATTTAAAATAATAATTTATTTGTTCATTGAAGTTGAAAAATATTTTGTATTGTCTCGTAAGTATTTTTAAAATATGTTTAAATTTAGGTCCTTACCGACGAGAAAGCTTACAAATGGCGTAAAGGAGTTAAAACTACATTTGTCATAACTGTTGGAATTTTTTTGAGTCGTTATAATACATTTTAGTTAAAACTAGAGAGTCAATATTTCATTGATCACTTTAAAATGTCTTCTACCAGGGATTCCAACCCTCCTTCTAGTTATAGCAAGCTTCCGCCAATCATAACAAGCCAATTAGACAGAGATTTTCTAAAAGATGTCAACAACTTTATAGATTCAGAACTTAAAAAAGTGAATAATTTGGATGAAGAACAAAGATACTTGGTTTATAAAGCTGTTTTCAATAAGGTATTGGTATTAGTATTATTCCAGTATTTCTAAAATTTAAATAACTTAAGCTTATTATTATTATTTAATTTATTATTGCCAATGATTGGCAAATATAAATTGGCCAATGGAATAGTCTGCCCAGGGCCCCTAATGCTCTGTGAGAATTTATGTGGAGACATGGACATGAGACTTAGGACTACCACATATAGTGGGATGGAACAAAAAAAAATGGTTGACCAGGCCCGCTGATCTTAGTCTTAGTAAATGTTCTAGGCAGGGTTGTTAACAATACTAAAAAAAATTATTGGCAATACCAATACCAATACTGCCTGTAAAATCTATTGGCCAATACCAATACAATTTTAAAACCAGTATTGCAATACCAATACCAATATTTATTTATTATTGCCTTACCAATACCAATATTTGGGTCATTCGACAAATAAAACGCAAATACGTAATTCATCGCTCTATATCACTTACATCGATAAACGATAACTACATTTTTGGCTAATTTAGACAATGTATTTTTAACCAAATTTTGTTCAATAGTTAACACTTGCTTCATCAGTTTTCCTCAAAGCGTTCAAAAGTCTTTGACAACATATTAAATAAGTCGGCATACCTTAACGTCCTTAAGCAACAAGATTTTTAATATGTATACTGTACACATATTGTGAATGAATGAATGGATGGATGGATGAATGAATGGATGAATGAAGCAAATGACTGTCATAGAAAAGCAAATGATACATAAACGGTTAAACATCATACTATAGTAAAAACAGTCAGACCGAGTCAGTGGATTGCATCACATCTGGAAAACTAACGATGAACGATGAATTTTAGTAGAGTTCACAGGGTAACGCCACCTATTTGGCCGTTACCACTTAGCCAGGCGAAGAAAAGTAACCATTTCAAAATGCGCACTGCTCAGTCGTGAACGAAGAGGGGAAAATACTCGTCCTCCTAATGAAAACAACCTTTCAACAGCAGCGCTTGAAGGAAGTCCTGTATTCAGGTCTATGTATATTTTACGGATATGTGGATAGGCATCCAATGATGCAATACTGTCTGAAGTGTCTGCCAAGTAATTATTAATTTCTTGATTCACATCAGGTGAATCATTCACACGATGTCGTCTGGCTGACAATCCAGCGAAGAAGTCTGGCTGATTATCTGTACCATCAGCAGCAGCCGACGTTGCTTTCTGATCATCAGTAGGAGCAACCAACAGTGATTGTGAAACGCGTCTCTTGATTTGATTTCTATTATCATTCATTTCATTGATCAGTCTCATTCAAAAATTGTTTGGCAATGTCACTCGCAAGATGGCGACACCAAAGAAAAATTTATTATATTCAGCTTTATTCACAACCAATGTTGTAGAGAATTTATTGAATATTGCTTTTAGTATTGGTTAAAAATCAATACCAATATCAAAAATAATTATTGGCAATACCAATACCAATATCAAATTTCAAGAAGTATTGCAATATCGTCCCAATACTTAAAAAAGTATTGGCAATACTACCAATACCAATACAATATTGCAATATTAACAACCCTGGTACTAGGTCAGGCATTCTCAAAATTAAAAAGATAAAAATAACTAAATATAAATAATTTAATTATTTTAGTTTTATTTCTTTAATTACCTTTATAGAAACAAGAATCAAGAAAAAAAATGCACTACTACCAATAAAGCGCAAACAAAATAATTAACCATAAAGTCATTTACTGGTTCTAATAAAAGGTAAACAATCTGATTAATTTAAGGCAGCAACAACAAGCAAATACAATTTTATTAGTCTAATGCACCACAGGGGTGCTCTCACCCCTGGTTAAGAACCACTGTTCTAGGACTAATGTTTCTGACACAGGTGGTGTAATTCAGTATCCATGGGATATGAATTTCTTTAGGGTTTGTAAAAGACAGTAGCGGACATAGAGACTTTATGACGAGGGGGGATGCAGGGGTTTCTGATATTATGTTTGAAGGGGGGGGGGGTTAATTTTTTTTCGAAGATTTTGACGATGGGGAGAGGGGATGAAAAATAAACAAAATTGAGTTATGTCGCTTATGGATGGCCCCTTTAGTAAATTATACTAATTTATAATCCCCTTTTAAAACTTTAATGATTGAGTTTTCATATTTTTTTTTGCTTTGAATACTATCATAAACGTTGCTAATTTTCTAGGATTTTATGCATTTGAAAACACATCTATTTCGCAAACACCTGCTTGGGTGATGTTGTCTACCATCTTTTCCAGCTAGCTATTATCTCCTAGATGTATTTGGCCTGTGTTGTTTATGGTTGCAAGGGATGAAAGACTTAGAATGGGTATTGAAAGACTTTGGGTATTTCTATGGGTAGAAAGACTTTGACTTGGTTTTTATATGCATGTAATTAGTTTTTGTAGTGTTGCGTTTGTTTTAAATGTGGTAAATTATAGTTTTTTTTTTTTTTTTTTTTTTTTTTTTTTTTTTTTTTTTTTTTTTTTTTTTTTTTTTTTTGTTATTTTTAGTTTTTTTTTTTTTTTTTTTTTTTTTTTTTACTCTTGTACCGCGCTTCGAGCCTTTGGGGATGAATCGTGTTTTTGAAATACACTTTATTATTATTATTATTATTCATGTTGCGTTTTGTATTTCAATGTGGTATGATATAGATTTTTTCATTTCTCTTTTAATATGGTTGACTTTGTACCTGGCTTTGAGCCTTTGGGGAAGAAGCGTGATTTTCAAATAAACTTTATTATTATTATTATTATACATGACATAACTGTAAGGTATATTTTTCCTAAAGTTAGGGGCCCTCCATAAATGATGTCACAGTATTTTGGGCAATTTTTTACCCCCTCCTGCCCATCATCACAAATCATCACACGATTGTAGACACCCTAATCACAAATATGTTACCCTCTACCTCAAAGATGCATGTCATGAATGGTCCCAAATGCATTACCCTAATTGTGAATTAAAAATGGGATAAAATCTGAAAATATGCATAGAGAAGATTTAATATATGTTTTAATGTTGGCACGCATTAATAATAAAACCATTTTTTGATTCCCTAAAGGTGATTGAACATGTAACAGCCTACAAGCCTGTGCTTACACGTATTCAAAAGGAATATGAGGATACAATTGAGATTATCAAAAAAGGGCAGAGAGAGGCTTCTTTTCTTCAAAGCAAGTTAAAAGCCATGGCGTCTGAACCCTCTACTTTGAGAAATTACAAGAAAAGAGCAGACGAGTTAGAGGAAAGGTACTATTAAAATTTATTTGCACTTAAATTATGTAAAAACCGCTTACCGCTCTATATAATATAAATAATTCCTTAAGAGCAACTTTTTTAAGCGCAAAATAAATACTATTGACAATATTAAAATGTAGTGCTGTGAAATTTCATAACATTTTCTTTCTTAAAAATATTAATACAACAAAAAAGATAATTCACTTTTTAATCATAAATCAGCTGTTCTTGAACACATCAATAGAAATGAATTCATGATTCAATATGATTTAAATGATTTTGAACCCTTTAGAATAGCTTTAGTCAATAAAGATAATCAAAGACTACAGAAAGAGATCAGAGAAATGCAAACACTCAGAGAAGACAGAGAGAGGAGACCTAAAACAGCAGAAACACCCAAAAGACAACTAAAGACAGACAACAGATTTATTCCAGGTACAAATACTTCCGGTTATCAATGAATAAATTGAAGTGAATAAATGTAGATGTTTACAAGGTAACAAAAATTATTTTTAACTGAAATTGAAGTGTATACATATTGTTAAATATATAAATATTATTAAATGTATATATATTACTTAATGTATAAATATTATTATACATGATGAATCCTTACTTTTATTTTTATGCATTTGAGTATTTAAAAAATAACTAAGAAATTACAAATGAAATCATGAGGGGAACTTATTATATTGCAAATTATTTTTATTTTTATAATTTTGTAAATCTAAGGCTTGACTCTTGAAGAGACAACTGACATGGATGTTCTTGAGAAAAAATTTGAAACTCTGGACAGACAGATCAGAGAGTTGAACATAAGTTTGAAGGCCAGATTTCTTCCTAAAAGCCACAAAATGCAGCTAAAAGAAACCCTAGATGCCAAGGCTCTATACAGGGATCAGTTACTCATGCAGACTCAGGTGAACTCATTGCATTCAGTTTTGCTTTATATACCATTATGTTAGTCCATGAAAGGAAAACGAAAATTCTACTTTTTCTCCCCAATTTGTGTTCCAGGCTTTAATCTGGAGCTTTGTCTTATCATAGGTCTATAAAGCAAGGGGCCTGAAGTTAAAAATTGCACTGGAGGCAGCCCAAGCATACAACCAGATGAAGCCACCCCATCAGACGGTTGGTGATGCTGTGATGATAGCATTTCATCAAGCATCGAGGAGTTTACAAGATGAGAGAGGTAAGAAATCTTCTGCTTCATCCCTTTCTCAATTTTGTTTTACGAAATTGCTTTGCAGGAAAATGTTCAAAAGTTCTTTGATTTCTTTTTAAGCATTACAAAATATCAGGTGTGGCTAAAATTGTAAAAGATCAAAAGCAAAGATTGAAATATTTTTTAGTGTAAAAAGAAAACAATACAAAGTGGTTGAAGTGTTTGTTCCGGTTCATTTCAGCTTATCTGAAATGTCAACCTTCAATTATACAATTCTGCAGGCTTTAATGATGAGAAAATTAACATTACTTACAGATCAGTCTAATGGAGAGCAGGCGGATGCCTTGGCACAATCCACAGCGGTAGAGGATGATGATCCTAATAAAGAAAAAGAGGCAGAAATGATGCTTGAGTACATTGAAAAGTTCAACGAATTGTTTGAGGACGGTCTCTTTGAGGAGGCGGCTGTCCATGCAGCGAACAGCCCTAAAGGCATTCTCAGAACACAGGCAACACTTGCCAAGTTCAGAGGTGGGTTGGCATTCTCAGAACACAGGCAACACTTGCCAAGTTCAGAGGTGGGTTGGCATTCTCAGAACACAGGCAACACTTGCCAAGTTCAGAGGTGGGTTGGCATTCTCAGAACACAGGCAACACTTGCCAAGTTCAGAGGTGGGTTGGCATTCTCAGAACACAGGCAACACTTGCCAAGTTCAGAGGTGGGTTGGCATTCTCAGAACACAGGCAACACTTGCCAAGTTCAGAGGTGGGTTGGCATTCTCAGAACACAGGCAACACTTGCCAAGTTCAGAGGTGGGTTGGCATTCTCAGAACACAGGCAACACTTGCCAAGTTCAGAGGTGGGTTGGCATGATGAAAATATTTTAGGTTGAGGTAAAAAAAAAACATGGGCCTATTATTTTCAAGGTAAAGGATATAATTAGCAAATTCAGTTCCCCCTTGCTATTTATTGTGTGACTTGGTGTCTTCCCAGAAGACATGCATACTTCATCGGGATGATCAACTACTGTTTCAATAATGTCCTGGTTGTTATTAATTCAGATGTTAAAACAAAGAGCAAAGGGAGATCACCACTGCTGGCATTCTGCGATGCTGTGATGTCATCAGTCAAGGCGGCGGGGAAGAAACCAAATGAGGCCCTGTCCAAGGACTGTATAGAAGCAGGACTGAAGGAGAACAGGGTGGATCTGGTCTATCATTGGTTAGCACAAGACAGGTGAGTGTGTACACATAACTGTGAGAGAAGTCTATTGATCCCTAAGACCATGTTCATCTTCCACGACTTCTTTTCCTTACACATTTAACCCTTGATAAATAATATTCAGGCAGACTCTTTGAAGCAGAAGTTTTTGGTTAGGATAAATTTTTAAAAATATTTTTTGAAATTCTATTTTATATGTTTTATATAAATCAAAACATTTGATGATTTTTTAAAGATTTGATACAAAACTATATAGATTGAAACTAATAAAAATCCCTTCTGATTGTTCTATGTGTCTGACTACCAGCTGCAATGAATTTTATGTAAATTTCATAAAGGCGTATTATCATTTATCAGCCTAAATTTTAAAAACATATTTTCCTGTGACTGACAAAAATAATGAATTAAATTTTCATCATTAACATTTTAAAAAGGAAACAAAGATTTTTTTTTTTCTTTTCCAAAGATTTTTTTTTGCAATAGACTTCCCTTGTTGATACTTAGGTTTGAGTGGAACTCTTCTACAATAAAAGGGTTGAACATCTCAAGGTTGTATAACAAGCTGTGTAAATAAAACAAAATACATTCAGATTTAATCATGATTTTACAGATGCAAATGCCTTCATTGATCCAACTCAACACTCTTATAATTATTTAATCAAGGTTTTATACAAATGTTTTTGAGAACTTGAAACTGCTATCTAAGTTCTATCAAAAGATTCACATGACTTAAATATTGACACAACTAGGGCATAAACCATTGGTCATTCCATTATGTGAAGTAAGCACCTATTCATTACTCAGAGACCAGTGAGAAGATGGATTTCACTTGTAATTGTTGCACACCAAATATTGTGTTTTATTGTGTGTGGTGCGTCTTGTGTGTTCGTTTAGTTAATGAAGGGTTTGGTGCTATAAGGCTTTTTTTGCTGTGAACTAGTGTCTTAAGTCTGTCTTTTGTGTACCTGCTTTTCTATTTGTTTTAGCAGTTGGAGTCTGAGCTTTGAGTGAGAAGGTTGCTTGGTATTTTAGCAGTGGACTGCGCTCTCTGTGTGTTTGAATTATTGTATGACATGATGTTAGTTACTTGTGTTCTGTTAATCAGATTACTCCACATGAAGGAAGTTGAAACTAATTATTATGACAGCCAGCCAAAAGTGACACACCATTTTGGCTGATTTTTTATTCCCCTCTTCCAATTATCACAAATCATCAGAAAATGTTGTTTCACATAGCTCAATTCCCCCCCCCCCCCCCCCCCCCAATCCTTGTCACACACTGTCAAATATATGTGATCCCACACTGGACCCTAAATGTGTGACATCCTTTTTGGATGGCGCCTGGTATTAGTGACACAAAATTATTCCCAGATTGACCTTGACCCAAGAGATGGGTGTGTTGATCACCGAGCACTGCACCTGCCAACTCCCCTGTCTATGTGGGTGCCAGGCTCTGGCTCAGAATGTGTTCGTGAGACTGAAAGCCCATGAGGATGTTGTCAAGACAATGTTGAAACAGGGCAAGGTTCAGTGTGCCCTTCAGCATGCCAGGCAGTGGCATTGCATCACCTCGGACAATGTTAAAGGCATCCTCATGTCCAATGTCTGCCAGCATTTAATCTTTGGTCTTATGGAGACTGACCACCAGAAGAAAAAGCCCTGTGAGTACATTTATTGTTGTAAGCTTCTTCACTTGATGTGCTTTCATTATGTGAGGCTCTACGATTCATTGTTCTAGTTTAAGAAATTGAATGCGTACAATTTCATCAAAGCTAATCACATTTCCATTTATTTGGATCAATAAAAATAGCTCATCTTATTTCCTGTTCAAAAATTATGTTAATATACTTTAAATTAATTTCTTAATTTATTCATTTGAATGAAATTTTAATTTCCGTAAATTATGAAAATTAAAATATAATGTTATGTATTTTACTCATAAATAAATGAATTCTTTCTTCTCATGGAATTATTAAATTCTAATTGTAAGCTTTTTAAGGGAGGGACTTTTAACATCGTCAGTTTAACTCCATCATCGATTAGCCTTTTTACCCATTTTCATATTTATTTTCCAATTATATTTATGGAGACATTTGAGAAATTTTTTGTATCTCTATACTCAGTGTTTATGAGTCAAACCAAATCATGTACATCAAATGTTACTGAAACTGTTTTTAGAGAATTTAAAAAAATTAAATATATATTTTTTAAATTAAACTGTGAATGATTAAACTTTCGGCCCTTTAAATACAAGCAAGGATGACAATTTTAAAAATTTCATTATCAGAATAGAAGAGGACATTGCATGGTTGCACATTAAACATTAAATCATTTAAAAAATAAGTCGCATTTTTGAAATTAATCTAGGATATTTGTTTCAATGTTAAACCTAACTATTGGAAGTGTTATTTATTTAAGTGTTAAACCTAACCATTGGAAGTGTCATTTGTTTCAGTGTTAAACCTAACCATTGGAAGTGTCATTTGTTTTAGTGTTAAACCTAATTATTGGAAGTGTCATTTGTTTCAGTGTTAGACCTAAGCATTGGAAGTGTCTTTTGTTTCAGTGTTAAACCTAACCATTGGAAGTGTCATTTGTTTCAGTGTTAGACCTAACCATTGGAAGTGTCATTTGTTTCAGTGTTAAACCTAACTATTGGAAGTGTCATTTGTTTCAGTGTTAAACCTAACTATTGGAAGTGTCATTTGTTTCAGTGTTAAACCTAATTATTGGAAGTGTCATTTGTTTCAGTGTTAAACCTAACCATTGGAAGTGTCATTTGTTTCAGTGTTAGACCTAACCATTGGAAGTGTCATTTGTTTCAGTGTTAAACCTAACCATTGGAAGTGTCATTTGTTTCAGTGTTAAACCTAACTATTGGAAGTGTCATTTGTTTCAGTGTTAAACCTAACCATTGGAAGTGTTCTTCTGAGTTTACGTGATCTCAACAAGCCTGAAGAAGCTGCCGATCTGATCCATGCCATGTTACAGAAACCAAGGGACAAAAGATACGGTCAGTTATTATGACCTGATGACTCTCAAGAACAAAAAAAAAAGAAACTACATTTAGATAACCAAATATATCAAGAATGACAACCAGGGAATGAATAAAATCATTAAATTGAGTTGCTGCTCTTTGTCCATTGATATCATGACATAGATTTAGGATGTTAACTGGTTCAGTACAACTGGCGTGTCACAGTACCATTACACTTATACATCATTGTTTTTGTCAAAGAGCAGTTTTTCAAGATACACACTTCAGTAGATTGACTTGACTAAACATACCATGCAGAGCCATGATTTGGTCTTTATGCTTGTAGTCAAACCAACTAGTAACTTATTTCAACATATTCATACCAAAGTCAGAGTTTACTTTCAGCCTAAATTAAATCAAAATTGCATGTCAATTTTCTGTTTCAGAAAAACTAGGAGCTATTTTACCTCTTCAAAGGGCAATAACTCTTGACAGAACAACATCACCCGAACAGTGGGGAAAAATTATCGACTTCTTGTCTACGAATGGTCAGCCAGAAATGTCTGTGCAGCTCCAGGCGATGGCTATCGTGGTCAACATACTCTGTCATGCTTGCACTATTGTTCAAGATGATCAGAGAAAAGGTGTTTCTTTTTCACTGGGTGTCCACACCAGGTTTGACTCCGAAGACGAAGATTCCAGCCACGAGGTGTCTTCTCGGTCATGGGAAACAACTTCAAGGGATCCGTCTTCACGGGAGATGAGTCCGGATGTGCCTCTGATGAGGAAGAGCCCCGGGGAATCCATACTGAAAAAAAGAGTTATCGAAGACGGCAGCTCACCGGATGTGGCCCTTAGAAAAACTCCGCTTCCGTCCGCCATGAAGAAAGGAGTTCGGCTCAGTGGCTTTACAAGTCCTCCACCAAAAGTTGCCATCGACATGCAACAAGAGGATCAGAGTGGACCAAAGCGGCCATTGTCAAAAGTTGGTGGAGGCATACGGCTGATGGACAATGACCCATACACAAGTAACCCTGAGTCGGCCGGGGAGAGTGAGGCCGAGTGAAGTGTAATGGGCGGCACAGGGTGGGACTGTGGATACCAAACAAGCAACACAGGGTGGGACTGTGGATACCAAACAAGCAACACAGGGTGGGACTGTGGGTACAAAACATAAGACAACTTTTGTGTGACTTTTGAGGGGAGGTAACCAAGATTAAGTGTAATAAAAAGGAATAATGAGAAGAAGGGAACTGTAAAGACTTGGTAGAGGGAGTTAAGGCTCAGAATCTAAGAAAGATGTTTGATTTACTATTCTCCTCACATGATGTGAAAAGCATGAATATGAAAGTGATATTGAAATCAGCAGAATTCAAATGTGAATATCTCTAGATGGAACTGTGAAGATGATATTTTGAGTGTCTCCGCCAGCCACTGGACATGCAGGGAAAAAATCCAAAGTAAACAAGTATTCTTTTTTTAAACTGTTATTTTCATGATATTTTTTAAACTGTTATTTTCATGATTTTTTTCAAATGTTGTTTGCATGATTTTTTTCAAATGTTGTTTGCATGATATTTTTCAAATGTTGTTTGCATGATATTTTTCAAATGTTATTTTCATGATATTTTTCAAATGTTATTTTCATGATATTTTTCAAATGTTGTTTGCATGATTTTTTCAAATATTGTTTGCATGATTTTTTCAAATATTGTTTGCATGATTTTTTCAAATATTGTTTGCATGATTCCTTTTCAAATGTTGTTGGCATGATTTTAAAAAATATTGTTTGCATGATTTAAAAAAAAATATTTTTGCGATTTTTAAAAAAAAAAGAGGAAGCAGTCCGATAAAATGTTTGATACAATTTGTTTACAAAATAAGACAACTATGGGTAAAGTTTATTCTTGCTAGTTTATATTTTCAGTTTACTGTAGTCTACTGTAAAGTCTTGCTGTCATTAAGATTCTTTATTTAATTGGCGATATTTTTAGTAGATCAAAAATAAATTGGCCAACTTCTAAGACTACTGTTGTTATTTTTTTTCAACTTCATCATGTGTAACTCTAGGAAGTAAATGAAGTTAAAAATAACTAGGTATGACCAATGTTAAATTATTGGACCTTATCTATTTTTAAAACAAAATCAATCGGCCAAAGTCCCTTGTTCAGTTCAGCAACAAAAAGGCAGAGAAGCCCTCAGTTCGATTTTTTTTAACTTGAAAAATGAATTTTGATTTTGAAATGTCCAAGTTTAAATTGTAATAGCAATAAACATTTTTCTTTTGACAAAAAAAGAACTTTTATTTTGAGATTTGTGGGGGGGGGGGATTTGTTGTAAAGCTTCAAGGGGCGGCTATTCATGAAGCTTTTGATACTTTTAATATTTAATGATTATCCCCCTTCAATCATAATCTTCACTTCACGGTTTCAGTTAAAACCATTGATTGACACGGACAGAGATGAGTGAGATAAGCCCTCATAAGCCAGTTTCTTGGCTAGAACTAAACATGAAATGAAAACAACGAGCCCGTCAGTTTCCATTAAAACAACTAACTCCGTTACATAAAGCCATAAGGGCCAAATAGGAGTCAATTATTTTCATGGAATATGGCTAGTGCCGTAAATGGCAAGAAGGCTGATAGTGGCATATGACCGGTGACCGGCTGATAGTGGCATGTGACCGGAGTTTGTATTTTTTTTCTTCTTAAATAAATCGGGAGTCAAAGAAAGTATTTACGAATCCAATTCTTGGTATCCGATTCCAAGCATCCGATTGTAGGTATCCGATTCCCTGAATTGCAAATAACTTGATGCGATTGCGTAAATGCTTTGATTGCCATGCTAAATTCTGAATCCTCCCCCCCCCCCAACCACCGTTTCTTTCCCCGCTGGCGCCCTAAACGTTTGCAGAGCTGGTTATTTGATTGTCCAATCTCATCGTCTGCTGCTCCTGCTGCTCCCCCTTGAGAGAGAGATAAGATAAGCGGGTGATAAGTCCTGCCTTCATGTCGACCTGCCGGAGTCTGCTAGTGTGCTGGCATCTGAGGGGCTGGAGGGGCAGAGAGAAAGGGAGAAAGAGGGGGGGGGAGGGAGGGGAAGGGAAGAGAGAGAGAGAGAGAGAGAGAGAGCAAAGGGCAGCATGCGGGAAATAAACAAGTTCTTCAATGCGAGTCCAAAAAAAAAAATAAATAATTATAATATTTTGAGAAAGTGAATTGACAAATGTATATTATTTAGCTGCGGCGAAGGAATGCAATGACGTCATCAATACATGTGTTCGCCGATTAGGCAGGCCAAATGCCTATTAAAATGAAAACGTTAACCTTGCCAGCTTCCTTTACAGTACTTTTAGCGTTCCCTCCTTGGTTAGGTTAACCAACGCCTACCTCTTAGGGGGAAAAAAGGCTGTCATTTAGTGGCGTAGCTAGGGTGGGCTATGTTTTATGCCGCAACCCCCCCCCCCTCCTTCCTTTTTTGTGTGCTACGAAACATCCCATTGAAGCTGTTTCCAAATCAATGTTTAATAAATACCGCGACAAGGATGGCGTCATAGAAGTTGATATCACCCAGGGTGCAACATCAGAACCAGCACGAACACTGATGTTAACAAAAAAAGGTTTGCCATGTAATGGCGGAAATCTATTTATAGAAGATCCGGGCGTACAGTCTAGTCAATCTTATTAAGATGTTTCTAAAACATCATCTTGGCATTCGGTGGGGCCAATCTCTCCACAGCTGTTCGGTACTTCTACCTTAATGTGAGCCAGCGTGGTGGCTCTTAACCAAGGCGAAAACGTGTTTACACTTTTATTTTGACGAAAGATTTCATGCAAAAAAACAGTTACTGCTATATAAGTGCGGAAATACGATGTCAGAAGCTATGCGTTACGTAAACACCCTAAAAACAAACACGATGTAATGCGATGTGACGTTTTCCGGTCTGAGATACGACTGATTTACTCTCCTTTTATTTGTGGGTGGGTGTTGGGGCAGGAGTACAAGCAAGCTGCATGTAGATGATGAAATACTAAGCACACGATATGATGGAACAAACAGATATATTAATATTAATAATTTACCTGTCCTTTTCTGCGGAGATGACTTTTGGCCCACACGTTCTTCTTGGTTGTTTTTTTTTTTTTT